CCCTGACTTTTCCTGTAGCATACATATGTCTGCGCCCCTCTTGGCCCCTGAAAAAAAACCCCCCCCCCCCCCCCCCCCCCCCCAGACTGGCATTCAAACCAACTGGGACAGGTGCTGCAAATCACGGCAACCAATGTCAGAGGTCAACCTGAGACCAAACATAAGTATGCTACAGGAAAAGTCAGGGGATCATCAAAGTCATTAAGGGTCATCCTCTTGGGATCACGCAAGTCTGTACAAAATGTCCTCTTAATCCATCTGATAATTGTTGAGGCATTTCAGTCTGGACCAAAGTGGTGGATGGACAGACACCGGCGCTCCTAAAGGGCCATGATAAAAATCAACAAAACTGTGAAAATCTGTTTGTCCGACAAACAGTCCATTGCTGCCGAGAGGCCAATAAAGCACACAATAAGTAACAAGACATTGCACGCAAGAATGCCAGAAATATGTCCGAGGTTATTTTTAGTTTGGCCATGTCATGCTAAAAGGCAGATATCAATAGTGGCCTCAAAATTTGTTATCAGTGTCGGGCTTTATCTAAAATATTTAAGAAATGAAACTAAGAGAGGCAGCAGATCCACATACTTGAAAACGCAGAAACAGCAAGTATTTTGCCATTTTTGTGCGACTACAATGAATAAAAAATGTATATGATAGGATTTATTTCTATCTACTAATCAAATTACAATAACAAAACAATCGCATTTGGCTGTAATCATACATTACACTGTGTTTGTCTCATAAAGAAAACAATGCATATAAATATCTTTGATAAAAAAAATAAAAATAAAAAAAAGGTACACCCTGCACCGAGGGAGGCTGTGCAGCGATGTGGCGTGACCCGCCACATTCTCGTCACGGAGCGAGGGGCCGCAGGTGAATTTCAACATCGACCTGGAACTAAAAGTAGAGCCGCGGACGTCGAGTGGTTTCTCAGAAAGAGAACCCCACCGGTACACGACAAAAGCACACCTCTGTAAAAAACTGGTCCGACTCTGCTCTCTGGGCATGGTGTTGAACATGAAAACATTCATTACACAACGTACACACATACCTCCCATGACTTCGAAAAACACACGAGCTTAAGCCGCCAGACTTGACTGCTGTTTGAAATGTGCACTGACTCGGTGTGTCTGCTATGAGGCATTTGGGATTTATGGGTTTGCAAAAAAAAAAAAAAGAGAGTCTATTGATGCTGCACCCTGTCGCCACGGAACTGCCAATTTAGTGTGAATCACTCTGCCTCTTTTTTTTGCTTTTTTGTTTCACTAAAGGGCAGGTCAAAGTACAGTCAGAACAGAAATGGATCCTGTCAACTTAATTCCACATGGTAGTCATAGAAAAATGTCAATAAGGCTCATTTGAAAATGTAATTTTAGTTTTTTCCGTCTCTTCCAAAGCGAATGCAAAACACCAGATTAGACTGTGTGGGTGCAAGAACTTTGAATTTGTATAAATCCCCGTTCTACAATCGTTGCGTCTGACGCGTAAACACGAGATAAGGGCGCGAGGAGCTGCAAATAAAGTCCAGTGCCATTTTCATAATTACTTATTCACAGATAGCTGGGATTGTTTTCCAAACAATGGAGAGGGGAGAGGCTGGCGTCACGGTCCTTATCGTAAGGAGGTTGTCAACAAAAAAGCCCCGGACCGGTCACTCATGTGCTCACATGGAGCACAAAAAAAGAGTGGAAGTCATTAATCGGCATATCTTATCGCAATAATGATTTCATATCTGTCCTATAACCTTTATGGCTAGACAAGATACAGCAATCAGTGCATGTGGTTCTTCTCAACTTTACGAGCCCTTGCTTTGTATATTTAAAAAAAAAACAACTCAGATTTTCTCAGCTTTTATGAGACAACTAGGAGAAAAAACATGGGAGGTTGTGGCATACCCCCGGCATTCTTCTCGCTCTTTCTTATCGTAAGTAGCAGATTAATCATTAACTTGAGCTCTACGTGCTTCCACTGCCTATGTAGGCCATAGGATAAAGCAGGTTTAGTGGGGGGGGGGCATGTGAAATATAAAAGAAGAAAAAGATTGAATGTGACATGTTCTAATTGGAATAAGAGGGAGCGGACAGAATAACAGGAACACGTGACAATATGATGCAATTCATAACAATGGGCGAACAATAAATACTGTTGTAGTTGAGTTAGAACACTCTATGGCTAAATATTGTAGCATCTGCATTACAGCACGGACTTTTACTTCAGTACTGTACCAAGTACAAACTTGATGTATGGTACTTGTACTTTACTTTGAGTATTTCCCTGTCATGCTACTTTATACTTCTACTCCACTACATTTTTGAGGTTACTATTGTACTTTTCACTGCACTACATGTATTTGAAAGCATGGGTAGTTATTTTACAAATTAAGATTTTACATTTAAATATATATATATTGTTATAGATTGAATTACCTGACAGTAAAGTAGTGGGTGGTAGTAAATTAGCTGCTGCTGACACATTAATGCATAATAACAATCCAATAATAAAATATGTAAAAGCATTGCACTCACAGTGGGCCTTGTTCTGCATGGAGTTCTTCTGATATTTTTAAGAGCATTTTGCTAAGAACACCTACACACTTCGGTAACATTTTCAACGCAGAACATTTTACAGTGTGGTACATGTACTTCTACTTTAGTAAACGATCTGAATACACATTTTGCAGGGTGTTCCTGCTGTTCTTTCCACCCCTCTATGTCGACCATGTTGGACAATATTTATCTATCATGGTTGACAAAGAACGAAAAAAATGAAAAAGCTGGTGGGGCCAGCAATGCAACATGTCACAGTGATAGTGTGGCTTCCTGTATCGCAGGTACAAATCTGCAGGTGAAGATTTGGGGGGGGGGACAGGCTAGTCCCAACTTCTTATTATTTTTGGGCACCGGGGCGGCAGTAGCGGCGCGCAGTGCGCATGCCTCAGTCTGTTTGACCCGCCTTGTCAAATCTACTCAGCGCACGGAGAGCTAAAGAGTGAAATGAACTCGCCTGATTAACAGCGAAGTGATTTTGATGCTCGTGCCCCCCCCTCGTTCCTAAGTTTCCCACTCTAGTTCAGACCGGTAGACAGACCAGTGTCTCTATATACTGGTGCTACTCTATCGGATGTGGAGTCACTCACACACACACACACACACACACACACGTGTAGCGGCTCCATTCACTCGTTTCGTTTGACCAGTGGCAACAACGTTTCGAGCACGCGAAGACGACAATGTAGCCACTTGTGGCGAAATACAACATTTACAGGCTCCGTTGTCCGTCGAAAGCTACGCGAGCACAAGTTTAAACTGCGTGGCTGCGAGCCGCAGCAGCCGACTTAAAACACACACAGGCATTTCTGTTTTAACGCTGTGTTCACACTCACCAAGGCCCCGTTCCTCCTCCCTCAAACGCCGCACGCAGACACGCTCACCACAAAGAAATGCGTGAGCAAAGTGGCTAAACAAGGTAGAACCCCATCGAGAGGGGGGGGCACAGGGGCAGCGGTTGTGTTTTTTTTTTGCCAGACAAAATGTACTTACCAACGAAATAGGACACCGCAAAAAGGGGGGAGAAACGTGCCGTTCCTCTCCGCCTCCACGCCTCTATCGCTGCCTGTGTATTTTTTCCCAGAACCGCTCTCCGTGGGTCGCGTCGAAAATGTCACAGATTCCAGCAGTGGCTGTCGTCGTTCTCCCCCCCCCCTCAACCACCACCACCAGGAATGGAATGGAATGGTTGTCCTCGACTCACGCGACCATGTTGCCTTGAACGTCGCCTGCTGCTCTCATCCGGGCTTTTAGGGATCGAGCCGCCGTCTCAACGCTGTTCAGGATGACAGCTAAAGGGATGAAGGAGGAGGAGGAGAAGGGGGAGCAAGAAAGAGAGAGGGGAGGGGTAGTGGTCAATCTGTTGAGGGCATGGTGACACCATGTAGGGGGGGGGGGTAATACGCTTAATACCATTAACGTGTTAAGGGATGTCCCTTAATGAACAAATACATCAGCATTCAGGTCAAATATTATTATTATTCAGAATATATTGAAGTGGTCACCATATATGACCATCGTCTTCTTTAACGGAAGGAATAATAATAATAATCATTTTGAATGGCATAGACCCACTCTGTTGTTTGACCAGACTCTCTCTCTTGACCTCACCATTATTCGTTACGCCTCGGTGCCAAAATGCGATGTGCGTGTGAATGTCACGATCACTGGCTCGATGGTAATGTTTAATCCGTCAAGAATATCGCCAGCTATTATTGCTGTGGCCACGTGCGTAAGGCATACATGCGTTACGTAACCGGCCCAACCAGTCAACAACCGAGGGAGGGAGAGAGAGAGAAAGGAGGAATAGGAGGAGGAGGAGGGGGGGGTCGTTTGGAGGGTGATCAAACCAGACTCGAGGGTGGGAGTTAAACGTAGAAAATCTAAAATATACATTTAGCCGTTAATTGTACTGCTCTGTCTATTTGTGTCGGTAGATTTCTCCTAAATTCACCAAACGTTACCATTAGATAATGCCTCATTTGAATATGTAAATATAATATTTCAGAATTGTAATACAACAAATATTGTCTTTATGTCAGTAATCAACTGTGGAAGTTTCATGGTGATATCCTTTCCTAATTATTTCTTACCCTATTAATTTGTGTGTATTTTACAAAATGTATCTTTTAAGGCTGTTTTTGTCCAGATCGTTGATCCATAAATCTCCACTTCAGTAGCTCTTACATCCACCACACGTTCCAGTTTCATTCCTCTCTATATTCTGAAGGTTTTCACAGACGGGTTTGTTCATACATCATTCATTCCTGATTTATACAACATTTTTTTCCTAAAAACATAGCAAACTTATTTAATTTATTTATGGCTGTTGACAGTATTTTCTCATTTATTGAGTGATACAAAGAGATATACAACATTCCCTCAGTAACTACAACTTTGACTCTAATATGTCAACAAAATAATACAAGCATTTTAAAACTGACTCCAACCAAAATACCAAAAAAAAACATTTTAAAAAACAAGATACATACTTATCCTATTCACCTGTAGTGTCTCCACTTAATTAACTAACACATGTAACCTTGAAACAGCTTCAAGTTTTAAAAGGATAAATCCCTCACCATGTCATTATTACTGGTGGGATCTAAGAAATAATTTCCCTTATGACTTCTATAAATGCTTGTTGAGACATGACTGCACCCTTCAGCCGGTGTTTGTGTGGAACAACTGACTCTCCATACAGATTTCCACCCACGCCTAGCTGGGCCTACCTCATTATTATTCCACGTCGGACCTCACAGCCATGGAACTCTCTCAACCTACACGAGGCCACAGCCGCAACATTTTACAAGACAACACCAAAAAGTATTTAGCCTGTCACCCCAGTGATCATACAGCAATTTGTGTATTCAAATGTTATTATTGTTTTTTTTCAATCATTATTGAGTTCATACATCTCACCCACTCCATCCCCTGACAGACCGGCCAACACTCACAAGCAGGAAACAAAACTAAGAAAATGTCTGAGAGCCATAATAATCTTGAGATTGATAAAAGACTCTATGATTGTACAACGTTGTGGTTATCAGTTACAGGCGTTAAGCTCTAGATTTCTATTCATAGTCTTCATAGCGGTGCAGGAACTGATGCCATACTTTATCATGCTAATTTATTAATCAAGACCCGGGTGTATTTAAGCTCTTCCAACTTTATAGATGAGCTATCACCAGGAGTGGCAGAAGTATTCAGATCTTTTACTGAAGTATAAGCAGCAATACTATAGTATAAAAGTACTTAGTGGCAAGTAAAAGTCCTGCATTCAAACTTCTAGTAAAAGTACACAAGTATCAGCACCAAAATTATACTTAAAAGGTTTTAACGTATAAAGATCACAAAAGCTCACACGGGGCAGGCGGATCCAAATAACTTCAGACTTTAACTCAGGAGACAGCTGTTCCCTTCCCGTGCGAAAAGAGAAGTCAACATTGATGTATTTGTAATATAACTTGCGTACTTCAGTAACGGCACTTCCGTAGTTGTTTTACCCCAAAGAACTATCTTTTCCTAAACCTAACCAATTAGTTTTGTTGCCTAAACCTAACTTACCTGTTTCCTGTGCAGATGGCAGTGTATTTTGAAAAGACCGTATGCACCTAACGAGCAGAAGTTGACACCATTTGCTGGACTTTTGTTGGAAAACACGCAAAAAACGAGAGGAATTTTTCGTACGAAATTATAGGATGAGGAAGTGTTGACCAATTTAAATTAATTTATATACTTCTCGGTAATTTAACCTAAAAGTATATCTTAATCTATTAGATAATTTATATTTTGTATAAATCATCTAAATCTGCAAAAGTACCTATAGCTATAGCATAAAATGGAGATAATCGAGTAAAGAATTGTACAAGTAACTTAAAATTGCATATATGGACAGAAAGGTTTTTCAAAAGCCCAGAGTTGGTTTAAACTTGGACACGACCAAAGCCGAAAATGAGGATTGCTGGGGCTTGGTTACAGACGGTTGGATCAAATTCTGATTAAAGATGGCGGGACTACTTGTAGAAAAGATTTGTCAAACGGAACGGAGGTTTCTCAGATCTCTCATCTGTGATTTAACGATCACATTTTTACGCAATTAATTTGCTATCATCAGCAGCACTTGTCGACCGAACACTGAAGGGCTCGACATCTTGCCCCGTCAGTCACAGTCACACAAATATCACAATTTCATCACGTTTACAGGAAATTGATCTTTGTTTCTTGCTTTCCAGGAGTCTTCTCATACCGTGGTGATTCCTGGTGGGCAAATGGGCCAACCTGTACAGTCTGTGTTATTATAATAAACAAGTGGATCAGAAAAAATGTCAAATATTGCTGTTTTGCAGCAGGTCGCAGCAATGTTCTCACTGACAGTCAAATGTACTTTTTTGTTGGACTTACGCAATGAGCCTATGCATTGGCAAACAGTATGTAAAAGCCATTAATTAGGTAAACTGCAGCTTAGCTTTTGTCCCACAGAATAATGAGTACATTCTGTATTAGTGTCGTGTTCGGGCAGGCCTGGTTGGGCGCGGTGTTTACCACATTTTCTGAATGCACTCCCACCGCTCAAACAAAACCTTTATTCTGAACTTGTCAGGTTGATAAAATCAACAACTTGCTTTCACGTCATTCTTGAGAATTATGTGACATGTGCATGTTTTTACAGGTGTTCATACGTCAATATGTACTTTACATTTTAGAAGTTGTGTGTGATGCATTTAAGTTGACTTTTCTGCTTCTTTTTTATTTTTTTTTAGAAATGTTCCTGGCTCTCTTTTCTTGAACTTTTGTAACACCAATATTCTGGAATCTAATTTACATAACCCACAGCGCTGCGAGCTAGAGAGTCCCTACTCGAAAAAGGTTAGCATAGCGCTACTTTCCATCGCTTACACCGGTGAATGAACAATACAGATGGTTCGTGTTAGTTGGCTGGCTCACACAACAGCCAACGAACACAGTGTATAGCCGATGGGGCATTTCGCTCATGGTAAGTTAACATGACACATGCAGGCACAGCAGATTTTCACAGGAGAAATGTAAGCCCTCGTGTGGAATTCACATGTAGAATAAATGTGGGTTATCACGTGTAAAAAGGCATTTCATAAGTGATGATTCATAAAGTGTGTAGGCATATCTGGTCATCAGACATTTATGCAAAATGTGTATTTATTTCCCATGTGAGAAAACCACGTCCTCCTGCAGGTTAGCTCATGCTGCAAAACCTCCTATCTTCTGCCCACCTTCTTTACAAAGTTGACATTGAACATATGAAACACTGATTACAATAATTATTTTATGGTTTTTAATTTTTAAGCTCAGGATGGGGAAAAGATCGTGGTATTGATTAGATATCGGAAAAAGTAAACACTGACTTATGGATATAAATTCCAGTCAAAGTTGTGTGCTTTGTGCACCCAACCCAGGCATCCAACAAGCACCTGTCTCTTAGTTGCATATGAATGTAATCTGCAGGAGACAGGCTTGTCTCACATGTCTTCCCATGTTGTTTACCCTGCCCCTATATTCTTAATCTGTCCGGTACATCAGCAAGCTCTGGGCCATAATTCTGCCCCTTTTTTCCTCCATTCCCACAATCAACGGCGAGTCAGATATTTAACTTACATGTGATTTGTGCATTATATTCGCCTGATGCTCATTCTCCTCTTTATGAGAATGTCAAGCCTTTCAAATGGACCTTTGCACGGATCAGTTAATAAATGCACCAAATATTTGCTGCCATCTTGTGGCAAAACAGGATTGTAGCTGTGACACTGACTGCTTTTCATTTTTTGGTTAGCGCTTCATCCACTTTAATATTTATATGGCCAAACTTGGATTTGCTCTAAAAATCTGGGCTGTGAAACAGAAACCCAAATGAGAAAGAACTCATAGTCTAAGTGTCACTTAAAACATACCGTAATTAATATGATATACTTAAGTATGGATACTAATTCTCCAATGCAAGCCAAATACATTTTTTGGGGGGGCTTTTCATCATAGACAGAACACATACAAAAAGAGAAAAACAAAAAACATAAAATAAAAAAATAGCCAAATAATTTTATCACAGCAAACTGTACGTTTAAGTTTGTTATACCTCTGCATACCTACTCAATTAACGCGCCATATCTGGATTGTTTAATCAGTTTAAAAATGTTTCAAATTAGATGATGTAGTTTTTTATTTGGGACTATTTTTTAGCTGGGCTCCGTGACATCCTGAGCCCCTTCAGTGAGCTCAAGGAGGATTTTGTAGCCCGCTAGGTCCGTGCCAGTGTTTCTGTTAAACTGAGATACAGACATGAGAGTGGTATGGATGTCCTCGTCTAACCCCTTTTTTGTGTACCGACATTGTGACGAACTCTTTAACCTGTGTGCTTTCAGTGGTATCATTCCACGTTTGGATGCTCCATTTCCAAAATGGTACAATTATCACCTGTACAGATGGACACAGCAGGGTTAATCAACCTCACTTCATTAATATCTATATATTTTCACCTAAACTGTGAGGCAATGCACCTTAGTTATTTTTTACAACACTTGTTCAATATGCTATGCGTTTGCTGCTGCTCCTCTTTCATGAATCGCCTCTCGTTCATGTGATTTGCATAATAAATAATCAGCTTTTCTCTTCCTCGTGAGCAACAGTATGCTCAGTATGTTTAGTACAGCCTATCATTCATCAGTTGTGGTGCGTGTACACACAGTCCTGCCCCCTGTCTCCCTCTCGCGCGCGCACGCACGAGCTGCACGCGCTCCCCGACACACACACACACACACACACGCACGCACACAAACATGGCGGCCTCTGTTTCACCGCTACGCTCCTCCTTCAGGATTTGTAGCCCGCTAGCGTTACCCCATCACTGCTGCCGGGCCGAACTGCGGACGCACAGAAAATGCGAGAGTCAAAGGAGACATGTTCACCAGTCGGTAACGAGGTAAACGGCGCCCCGTTCAAAACGCCGCTGTGTTTTTTCTCTTCTTCTTCGTCCAGTTAATGCACGGTTTTACTTTGCGGAGGGATGAGCTACGCTTAAGCACCGGCAAGGCGTGTGTCACGTGCGCTAGAGGATGGTGATTGACAGCGGGTTTAACCGTTCACGGTAGAGAGGGTAGGTTTAACGGACGTAGCGTTAACTTTAACGTTAGGTAAGGGGGCAATTGCATGTCTCATTAAACCGATGGTGCTGTCAACAAACGTGTCGGTATTATGTAACTCGCCGCAGTTTCTACGGTTGTAGTTGGCTTCATGTTTGAGGACACACACTCGTACCATGTTGGCTGCTGCTGCTGCTTGAGGACAGTTAGCTTCATTTAAACCGTTGATGTGGGATTACCGGTGCTAATAATGACCGTATATATAGAAACACAATATTTCCACTCAGAAGACAAGAAAATAATAACGTTCACTCATCACTAACTTAACGTTACTGTTAGTCATTTTACGTTACAGCTCCAAAGCCAAAGCTTGCAGAAGAAGAAGATAGTAGTATACCACTATCTTCTTATTCTACTCCTTCATTCTCCTCCTTCTTCTTCACCTTCCGTCTTCTCCTTCCGTCTTCTCCTTCATTCTCCTCCTTATTCATTCTCCTTCTTCCTTCTTCTTCTCCTCCTCATTTCTTCTTCTTCTCCTTCCTTTTCCTCTTCCTTATTCTTCTCCTCCTTCAAAAGTTGTCTACAGACCATATCAGACTGTATAGAAGAAGGATTGACCAGTGCAACCAAATAGCAGTGCCGCAAATTCTATGTAAATTTACTTCATATAAATAAGAAACTACCCTTAATACTTAGTTTAATTCGTAGCATACACTTAAAAAATA